ATGGTCAACCCACGGGCCCTTTTCCCAACCCCCCGAAATTTTTTTTTTTTTTTTTAATTAAAAAAAGGGTAGAAGGAGTTAAAAGCTAAAAACCCGGCTGCAAGTCCACTTGCGCAGCGCGTATCTCCCTTTGCTCTCTCCCTGACCCCGCTGCTTGCGGCGTAGCCAGCGTATGCCCGCCAATTTGGCAAATCCTAAACATTTGGATGCCAATCAATGTTTGTATGGGGAAGCCTAAAGTATAGTAAAACTTTCCCCAAGATATATTTGGAAATAGCAGCAGGCACTATAGTAAAAATGCCAATAAAGCTGCATATACAAATACAATGAAGGGTGGCTTTCTCTCCGTTTCCTAACCGGGGAAGGCAGCAGAAAGTAACGCGGCCGCTCTACCCCCCGCGCGCAGCACGAGCTAACGCTCAAATCCGAGGAAAAGCAAGTCTCAGAGTTTTGTTCTGTGGTTTTTTTTAAGTTTTGTTTATATTTAGTCAAAAAGAAAAAAAACAAAAATCTGATACGCGGGCACTTTAGGACAAGTCAAACTCTGAGCCCTTCTACAAAATAAACAGGAAAAACTGAAAAGCGCGGTAACAGAAAACCTTAGCACGACTTGTGCAAATACGCAAAGAATTATTTATTTTGTTCTTTACGCGTTGTGTCGTATTTTCGTACGTTTCAAAAGAATATGCCCTACTCGGAAAGTTAGTTTGGCCATCCAGAGCCACCGCTTGCTTTGTGTAACGAGGAGTTAAAGATCACCCCTCTTCCTTGGCACAAAAACAAGCACGGTTGCAGCTATGCTGACAATTAAAAAAAAATGCAAGAAAGATCCCGATTTTGTTGTGGGTTCCCCCCCAACCTCAAAAAGTACTGCAAAAATCAGCCAGAGAGATCAAAATGTATTATAATACACTGGGGCCACGCTTCTTGTTTTTCTCTGCATAAAGGAGTGACCGAACCCCAGGCTGCACATAAACCCCATACAGCCCGCGTGGGCCCGATCCAGCACCGCGTGCTGCGCACGTCCCCGCTCCCAGCGGCCGAGTGCCTCCTTTGCTCAGGATTGGGCCCTCCAGGAGGGAAAAAATACAGTCATCTGTGCAACGTTTCCCCCAGCATGGTAAAAGCCACCCGCTGCCTACCCTTCCGAGACAACACCGGGGATTTTTCAGATTAACTAACTTTTTTTTTTTTTTCAGTAATTATCCCCTGGAGTACATTTCCTACCCAAATCATTTCAGGTAGTGCAAATATTGTTATTAAAACAGACATCTTGCTTCCTTTCAACACCTTAACTTGCATTTTCTTTTCAAAAATTACAAAAAATTGAGAAATCAATAGCAGAAATACCTATCAGCAAAATCCTGTCGTAATTCAAGACGTTCTGCTGACTTCCCAAAAGCTTTCATTGCACTTATTCTGAGCGGCCTCTGAATTGTAAATACTTAAAATCTATAGGTGATACCACAGCATTTGTTTTTATTTTAAACACAGATTGTTAACAACTACCAAAACCAGCACAATATATTCCACTGTAGCACAGCAGAGCGGCAGCGATCACAAGTAATACGCATGATTATTAAAATATAGAGCAGGTAAAATAAAATAAATCACTCCAATGATTGGCACATTCCTTTTTTTTTTTTTTTTCTCCCCCCCCTCTACTGGAAAAGATCAGAAGTTTCAAATTTCAATAAAGTTTAAAAAAAAAAAAAAAAAAAAAAAAAGGAAAAATAAAAAATTTTAAATTTCAAAAAAAGTTAAAAAAAAAAAAAAAAAAAAAAAGATTGCTGCGAGTTTCCAGTCGGCAGATTCAAAAAGTGAGAGGAGGCACAATCCCAGCACATGGAGCTGCTGCACCCACCAGAAACAGCTCTCACGGAGGGGGGGGACCAGGGGGAAAAACAAAAAAAAAAGAAAGAAAAGCAGAAAACCTACAGGTCCCTACAAGCTATTACAAATAATAAACCCTCCCTTCCGATCCCTCCTGTCCTTCCCCACTCGGGGAGAGCGGAGGAAAAAAGGCCTTTTGTCAAGTGGAAGTTTCTCTGCGAAGGTGCACGCGGAGAGGCTCGACAGACCCACCGCGAGCCAGGGGAGCGCTTCCAGCGTTCCGGGGTGCTACACACGTCTTGCTACATCCTGAAATATTTCAACTTTTCTGCTTTCGGCAGCGCTTTGTCCTGCCCGATCTCATGTGCTCGGGACTTTTTTGGCTCGACGCTGGATGCTATCCAAGAGCGAGTCGCTTTAACCTGCGCTAAAGCCGATTCCTACGATGTGAACCTGAAAGGGGAGGTAAAAACAACACCCAAAAAAAGAAATAAAAAAAAACAACAAACCCCACTTTAAAACACTTGACAGAGGAAGCGG